AGGCTTTGCGTTTTCCTTTTTTGTCTTTTTCCTTGTCAAGTTTGTCGTCAATGAGTTTGGTCAACGAATCCCAAAAATCAGGAAGGTTGGGTTCATTTTCAACTGGATCTTGAGCTTCTCCGGCGAGCACAGAGAGCTCATTGTCATCTTGTTCTGGATTATCAAGGTCTAGGTCCTAGCTACTGGTGACAGATTTCATGGAAGTGTCAGCCCTGGTTAAATATTGAAGGAATTATTCCTTCATATAATCCATAATTTTAACAAGCAATTCTGTTTCTGATAAATCCGGGTACTAATGGCGGAATTCTGTTTGAATCTATAAAAACGAATTGTTAGATTCTAATGATGCTGGGATGGCTTTAAGGACAGCATCCCAGCAGGCCTTACTATGAGCCTGGATGCTCTGAAGTAATTCTGTTTGATTGGCATCCATACCTTTATGCCACCATCTCACAAAAAAGACTCGTTTGAGTCGTGGGATTTTATTATGTTGATCACGCTGGAAACCCCATTTCCAAATCCATGGTATACCAAATCGAATAATAATGGACCAAGGATTTAGTCATGGAAATATCCCTATTTATTGGTAAACAAGAGTAGGTAATCTGCCACTCATTAAAAGTCTGTCGGATAGGTTCTGGTAAAACATTTAACTGTATCCCAAATTTATCCCACCAAATGAGAAACCAGATGGGAAGATCGTTTTTGAGGACATCTGGGACAATGCGGATGAACCAAGACTGATTTTGGATGGGATTCTGATAGTAGAAAACATAGTAAAAGCATTGATGTAATCCCAATAACTGTATTTGGATTCACGATTGCGAATGTCCAAGGCTCTGGTAGTATGCAGATGAATGCCCCAAGTAGAAATGGGCATGATACTACGGATCGTAGCTTTGCTATACTAGATTGGGCTAGCCACTTTATTAGTGTCATGTAAAGTATGACGAAATTCAATGGTAGCTTTTTCGTCAATATCTATTCATAGATATAATGATACTGGTCAAAATGGGGAGAAAATTGTTAAGAGTTGTAAAATAACGCCGCTTAATTTCCCATGGATCTGACATCCATTTTCCAACTGTTGGTTCAATATAGAGGAATGTTTCCTCAATAATACTGTTAGACATATACTGTTCAAGAGAAGAGAGAAAGACATCCTTAGCCGATTGGCTGGATTCCCCTTTTGTACTGTTTGGCGAGGTCTGAAGCCTTGGGAATTCTGTTGAATATATGTTCTGGTGAGCATAAGGACTAGATGCTCTACCATGGCCGCAACGGCCTCTGTCTCTGCTGGTCATGATTCCTGTAAATATACACGAGCTAGAAAATCTGGTAAAGAATTCTGTTCAACGTTGATATATTCAATATCAAAGTCAAATGCTGATAATAAACTTTGCCAGTTTGCAAATTTCTGCTTTTGAGCAAGATTTTGAACATCTTTTTTAAATATCTATTTAGCTACGAGTAAAAAATGTTGATTTAGAAAATCATACTAAAATTTTAAAATACATTTGACAATAGGTAATCATTTCTGTTTAATATTGGATAATTTAGGGCTACACCTTTCCAGGTTCCTGATTTGAAACACGAAAGTTCTTGCTGTTTTGTAAGGTTAAGCTGTATAAGGATACCTCTGTAACCTTGATTAGAGGCATCCGTTTCAAATATTTTATTCCATTCTGGATGAGGTAAAGCAAGACATGGGAGTTGTTTTACCTTTAATTTAATTTTTTGTACTGCTGTTGTGTATACTGGTGTTCAAGGAGAAGGGTTTTTTTGAAGTCTGGCATAAAGAATAGAAGCATCCTAAGATAACTGGTGATAATAGTCGCGAATATAATTCAGACTACCAAAAAATCTCTGTAATTGAGTTGTCTTTTATTTCATCTGAAAATTTGGATGCAAACTCAATACTTCTATTAATAGGAATAATAGTGCCATTGTGAATATTGTAGCCCAAATATCGTATTGTTGTTTGAAAGAGTTTCATCTTTGGTGCAGAAATCACCAACCCATTTCGGATAATAACATGCTTAAATATATTAAGATGTTTGATATGCTGATCAATAGATGATGAAAAAATAAGAACATTATCAATATAACAGATTGCAAATTCTATATATGGGCTGAATATATCATTCATAATATGTTGAAATTCAAATGGAACATTCTTCAAGCCAAAAAGCATAACACTCCATTCATAATGTCCAAAAGGTATTGTAAAAGCAGTTTTCTAATGATCTTGCTCTGCTATCTGAACTTGCCAATATCCTGATTTTATATCAAATTTAGAAAATATAACATCCTATAATCGTTCTAAAAGATTTTTTTTATTCGGAATTGGATACCTAATCCATTTCAAGGCATCATTAAGAGATTTATAATTAATAACTAATCTTGGCACACCTCTTTCGATTTCTGCATTTTTGTTAACATAAAATGTTGTACAACTCCAAGGTGAGTGACTTGGTCTGATTAATTTTTTCTGGAGAAGAGTATCTATTTTTGTTTTGCATAAATTTAAATACTCATTTTTCATTTGGCTAAGTTGAGCTCTGGTTGGAATATACCTTTCATCAAAGTCTAGTTATAAGGAAGAGAAACAATATGTTTTTTCCGTTCCCAAAAGGCATTGGGAATATCACTGCAAATTTCTTTTTGGAATTCTGTTTCAATTAGTTTAATTTTATTCTGTAAGGATGACTATTGTAATCTTTGTTCAATTGTAAGAAAACTGACTTCTGTTTGCAAAAAAATTATCTATTTTTCTTTGAAATTTACTATCTTTAATCTGATCTAATGCTTTGGTATAAGGTTCTGTTATGAATTCAAAAATAATCAGTTGATTGCTAATTGTTTTGTGAATGCCTATGGGATCTATTTTAGTAATAGGCAAAATTTATTTGTTTAGAACTATCCGGCCAAACAAACTAAGATGCCGAACATATGAAGGATGTTCGATTTGCTACGGCCGAACAAATTTTGTTCAGTTAGATGTTGCGGAATTACTACCTCTAATTCGGCCCTATATTGCCAAGTTGTTGGCATATGTTCGGGAGTTCATTATTGAAAAAACGTCGAACCATTATTATTAATTTTTTCTTGTATTTGAAAAACTCCACATTACACTGTGAACCTCATCCAAGCTGCGAACCACATCGAAATTGTAAACATCTTCTGAGCTGATATTGTCATACTTCATTCTTCTCATTGTATTGGGTTGTTGGATTTTGATATGTGTCTAGCCAGAAAAGGTTTTACTCATGCGAACTGGGTGCAATCAAATAAGGCTTCACTCATGCGAACTAGGTCTAGCCGGAGAAGGCTTGACTCATGCAAAGGGATGCTGAATTCGCTTGAACAAAGACAACGAGGGTTTTGAGTTCTTATTATGTGTGGGTTTGGTGGAGGTGGGTGCTCTAAACTCATATTATGTTATGGTTTGACTGATGGATTCAAATCTAATTATGAAATGGGTATCCCATTTGAAGACTTGTCATTTTTAGTAATTTCATATAAGGTTAATATTGTAATAATAAATAAATAAATAACTAACAGTTGGGGGTCCTAAGCAATAAAGTGGGAGCTATTTGCAACACTCTAATATTTCCAACAAAATTAGTCTCATACCCTTTAATTTTTTATTTTATTTTATTTTTGTTCTTTTTATTTAATCCAAAAAAAGTCAAATAAAAAAATAAAATAAATGATAAAAGAGCAATTTTATTGCTTATTCAAAAATTAATATGACAAATGCAACAGAGACATTTGCCATTGTACTGTTGGTTGTTGTCGTTTTTTATAATTAATAACGTATGCTAATAATTTGACTTCAAAAAATTAAATAAGCTGGGTGTTCATGTATTTTGGTCAAATGTCAGGAGATGTCTGTGTATTTTTGTCAAAAGTGAAGGGGTGTATGTGATTTATAAACTTAAGAAGGGCAATATCGGAATATCATACATCATTTGGCTGACATCAGCAAAAATCGTTACAGTTAGTAACGTCCATGAAGTTTTAGGGTCTTGTCCAGGGGTGTCCATCATATATTTGAAATGTCAAGGGGTGTCCATCGTTTTTACCCAAAAAACCAAAATAAACAATAATTTAAGAAGGCAACCATCCAACTCGATCTGTAAGCATACTTTCCTATACAAGTTTAAAAAAAACAAAAAACAAAAAACAAAAAACAAAAAAAAAAACTAGTGTATAAGTAATTACATACATCCAATCAAGGTGCCTCTAAGAAAGGATAAGAAAGGATGAATGAACAGTTATGAAGATTCAAGAAACACATATCCAGGAGCATATACCAGTGACACCAAGCAGAGTAAGAGGGTATTCAAGCCCAGCTCAACTTATCAAAATCATTGATTGAGATTATCTCAAGTTCAATGAATATTTTCTGACATTTGGGCTCAGCTTGACAACCAGGCATCATTGCATGGGATTCTGAGATGGCTCAGCCTGATTTGCTTTCTATAAAAGATGCTATAGTTTACTAGAGTATATAGGCAACACTCAGAAGTACAATGGCTACAGTATTTTCATTTGCACTTCAGTTGAGACTTCACTTTTCAGGTACAAGACAGCTTTCAAAACTTTGCTATTATAATGTAACAAAAGTACAAAATGAACCAGGCATTTCACAGCAGGATCAGGTCTTCTGAAACTTTAGCAAGTAAGCATAAAAAAATAAAAAATCAAGTGAAATTTGTTGAAATTTCACATTACCAACATAAATGGATCTATTAAATTACAATTTTTACAAAATTACCAGTACTTGTGAGCTAGATCAATCTGAGTATGGAGATGATTGAGGTTTGTTCAAACATTTAATAACCATGAATTTTAGACTCAAGCTTGACCCATGAATACTACCAAGCTTTGCTCTAAGCAAACCAAACTCGAGAACTTGGACTCCTTTTTAATCTTAGCATACCAATTGAAAACATCACACCAACCCCGCAAAACAACAGATAATGTGTACATACCTTCAGAGATGATAAAGCAGCAAGAGTGGAAATCTCAAGTTCACGGTTTTTGACAGTCTCTGCAACTGCATCAGTTCGGCAGAGTGCAAAAGCAGCTCGCCTGAAAAAAGAATAACATTTTGCCACTATTATTACGATATTCTAAAAAAGATTTCAGAACAATATTCTTAACCAGCTAGAAATTCTAAATATTGTGTTCTACTTGGGATCCTAATTCCTACCCATTCTCCCTGAATCACAATGACTCAGTATTTGAATTTCAGAAAACCTGAACTAACTCTGCTATTTATATTTTAAACAAAATGAAGATACAGAACATATACAGCACTGACATGGCATCTATTATCAGAAATAAAAAAGAGATTTATTAATATAAAACAAAGATACAACAAGAGAACAAGAAGTCCTGTACAATGAGACAAAACGCCTAGAAAAGGCAAAGGCAAAATAAGCCCTTAAATCACAAATCACCATTTAATTCTTGTTATGCCATCCCTCTTTAGAAAAAAGCAAAGACCAAAAACAAGAACAACAATAATTCTGCGTTCCACTTTGCATGATTAATCATTTATTGTCTATCGAACACGTAATTAGAAATGAAACAAATATTAAAATCTCTATTTAAAAAAAAAACATGAATAAATAAAACAAGTTTGCACCATCATAACCAAAAGTTGATAAACAGATACAGTACAAATCAACAATTTTTAGTTTATCCAATTAGTTCTTCACATTGAACAACCCAAACTGATGAATACTTGTATGTATTATGCATACCAGCTGCTGCCAATGCATAAAAATCGAGAAAGATTTTCTAGGAGAAAATTTAAAACTGTCCAAAAAGTATAAATCTCTTGCATGAAAGATTCATTTCCATATTTACAACATTAAAAGCTTGTCATAACAATCCATGGAAAACAACTGTTGTATACAACTAGAAGCGATATAATAATCATACCTGACGCAATACGCATAACCATAGGCATTTCATAAAATAATGATTGAAATATTTTGAATGAGGAATGAAAAAAAAATAAAAATTAAAAAAAAAAAACTTAGATGCTTTAACAAAATAACTTATCAAAAAAAATGGTTTTAAAAAAAAAAAAAAAGAAAAGAAGAAAAAAAAACAAAAAAAATAAGGTAACAAGACAGTATCATTCAAAGCTCTACCTTTCATGCCTTTCCTTTGCAGGCATCAATGACCTGAGTGATTTAACCGCAGACTCAACCATATCCATCTCATACTCTATCCTACCATTGGTCCAACACTGCAAACAGTAGAACAAAAGTCAAGCAGGAGCATTAATTGATGTTACTATTTAGTATTCAGAAAGCCTATTACCACCACTAATGATACACAATAAATATAACAGCAACAGATCCATCATCTAGTCAGTCTTTTGTTTATAGGCCCAAACAAAGAAAGAAAGTGCAAATTAACATGTCAGCTAACAATCAACATGATTTTTCCAAATCGTTAGGACCACCACTCAATGAAATGTGTAGCGTAGAGTATATCTAGGAATAAACATTTTCCTATCCTCCTTGAGTTTGCGGGGGGCTATTAAAATTTACCATCACCTACCACACACTTACCATCACCTACCACACACTCACCTACTACACTCACCTACCACCACCATCCACTACACCTACATCTATATAAGAAACCATTTGTAATAGACAATTTATCAACAATACATCAATCAATAATACCACTTACCATCACCTACCACACACTCACCTACTACACTCACCTACCACCACCATCCACTACACCTACATCTATATAAGAAACCATTTGTAATAGACAATATATCAACAATACATCAATCAATAATACATCAGTTTTTTTACAATTAAAAAATGAAAAGAATAAACCAAGTACTTGAAACACCAACCAACATTAAATTAAGTCGCACAAAAGCTTCTTCTATGCCAAAAATTACTACCTACTTTGCAGACATTTATATTTGTTAAAATTGGCAGGGTAACCAACAAAAAATTCTAGCTCAAAGAACAAGGTTCCAAAATAGGTATTGCTTATGGCATGGCATGGCCCAACACAGCTTAATATTGACCTATATGCCATGACATCCCACTTCTCCACCTAGAAATAACCTAAAAAGCAACTCGAAATGCCACCAAAACAATGCAAGAAACAATAATATGGACACATCTTACAGTTTACAACACAAAAATGACCAATTAGTGGCTACCTAATCAAATGAGTGAAAATGAACATTAACTAAGCACTTGTCCCCTTTTCACTATCAAAAAGTTAATTCATCAATAACTCATTCAACCGACCCACATAATATTTTGTAGTGCAAGAAGATCAAGCTGAAGATGTACCTTTAGGTTCTATCAAATGAAAAAGTAAATAAATTTCCAGTATTTTTATGGTTACTGCTATCTATAGACATAATTTGTGTATTGCCACTCTCGATGTCATGCTAAATATTAGTTATCCATTGGGTAATACAAACTGACATCAAGAATTAGTCCAATGTATTGCACTATCATCTAATCCTTGAGTTGAGACAACTTATCTGATGCACTCAGTTTTGCTTAAATTAGTCCATCTCAATAGTCAAATCATCAACACATATATATCTCAAGTATGGGTCAATTATTATTTATATTCGGTAGGAGAAATAGAAGGAAAAAAATAATTGAGAGAGATATGGAAAGAAGGGAGAGAATAAATTAGCACCTTTTCCCATTTGGTTGGGAAAAAAGTATTAAGGGAAAAATATTTGATTGTATTGTACCTTGTGCATAACTTTAAATTTAAAACTAGAAAGCACGGATACAGATACGATACGATATGGATACGAGAAAACTTTAAAAAGAAGGACACGGGTACGGCTAGGATATGTTTGTGAAAAAGAATATCTTTAAATTTTTAGCAGTGAGTTATACAAGTGCAAGAATACTGAGAAACCACTATAATTTTCTAATACAGAATACTAATATTTAAGAATTAAATATTAATTTAAGCTAGCAGCTAGTTTACCTTTTATAATTTGAATAGGTATTAAAAATATTTCAATAAAAACACGTTATGAAAAAAATACATGATACATCCATTCGACAAATTCTAAAATAGTAGGGTTTTATCTATGTTCTTCTTATCAAATAAGTAAGCAAAGTATTAAAAAAATATTTACTATAATGTTATGCAAGATATGCTACAATTTCAATTTTGTAAAATTTCGTATACATGAAATTTGAAGTATTAGAAACTTTTGCAGATCTACAAGTAATCGAGGAGTATCAGTATTCGATACGGATATATCTCCCTTCTAGAAGTATCTATGCCTCATAGATTTTAACTTTCCTCCAAATTTCTTGATATGTACTACGTTACACGGACTAGGGTACGGATATCGAGTGCGGGTGCATATCTAAGGGTCGAACAGCTTAAAACTGAAAATGGAGTATACAGGGATATGAATCCAAATTTGAATATGGGTACGAGGATACGGTAAATAGTTATTTTTAAAAAATATTTATTAAATTATCAATTTATTAAATACAACATAAAAATATTTTTAAATAATATTTAATTAATTAAATACAATATAAAGATATTTTTAAATTAAATTATTATCTTTATAAAGTTATTATTTTAAAAGTAATAGAGTGAGAGAGAGAGAGAGTTATTATTATCTTTAAATAATAGTGAGGTGAGAGAGAGAGAGTCATTATATTTAAATAAAAATAGTAAAGAACAGTGGAGAGAGAGAGAGAGAGAGAGAGAGAGAGAGAAGAGAGATAGAGAGATCGAGAGATCGACACGAGTACGGGGTAAGGAAGACGAGATTGAGATCGCACTTCGGCTTCGACTTCGATGTCGAAGGGGAAGTCAGCGACAAAGGATCGAAGAGGCCACGCTTGTCAAAGTCATCGAACACAAGATCAAAGCCAGCGACAAGTTCTCTCCTGGCTCTCTCTTTCATTTCTTTTGCATTTAGGATAAAATAGAGCCGTATCCATTTGTAAAGAGCCGTATCCCGGCCATATCCAGCACCCGTAACCATGTCGTGTTGACATGGGTACCTCCCAAATTTCAAAGAGTCCGTGTAATGTAGGATATGTGTGAAGATTCTCTATAGAAAAGAAAGATAATTAAAAATAAAATAAAATTGTTGCTTATTTCTTTTTCTCTACTCCTAAGCCAAAAAGCATAAGAAAATAAGAGATTTAAAAAAATTATCTTCTCTTCCCTTATTTTCTCTCCGCCAAAGCATAACTCTTAACTCCATACACTAGACACTTTTATCTCAAAAGAATTAAAAGGTTGGTCCCAAGCGTACATCGCTATCATTTGTTATTCTATATGTTAGACTCTACAAATATGAATAAATTCTCACCTCTACAACCGATGGATAATTGCATATCATAATTGATTCTTTCCTTGTACAACCCCTTGATGAAGGGAGACGCTGCCATAATTCTTCAGTAACAAAAGGCATAAACGGATGAAGCAACCGTAGTCCATTATCTAGACACACCCACAAGGTGTCTCGTGCAAAACTCCTCGCAGATGCAAATGTTGAATTATCATTGGCAAAGTAAGGTTTGACTGCTTCAATAAACACATCACACAACTGGAACTGCCACCATGAATACACTGCGCTAGCAGCGTCAGAAAACTCATATGAGTCTAGTGACGACACAGTTTTGGATATGGCCTTGTTCAATACTGAGAGCATCCACTGGCAGCTAAATGGCATGACATCTGGAACTATATTCGTTGGAGGAGTGTAATCATCTCCAAGTTTGCTGATGGCAAATCGCACTGCATTCCACAGTTTATTACACCATTGACGATACCCAACAACCCTTTGGATATCCAGATTGATTTTATCAGTCTAGGACAAAATGAGAGAAGTCACTAAATTGACCAAAGAAGCATAGTAAAATCTAATAAAAAAAGGTACTTAGAAAAGCATGCACCTGTGCTGTGTAAGAGACAAGGGCAAAACGAAGAGCATCAGCACCACATTCGGGAATACCCGTAGGAAAGTCCTTCTTTTGGCCCTCTTTTGCGACTTCCAATTCTGTCGGATCCAAGTTGCCCTGCTCTAGTCTTTTGTGAAGAGCTTCAAGGGTTATTCCATTGATTACTTCTTGAGGATCAATAACATTTCCCAAAGACTTGGACATCTTACGTCCATGTGCATCACGAATCATGGGGTGCAAATAAACCTGTAGACAGTTTGACATGATCTGTGAATCTGCTTCATTTATTTTAATAGAAAATTGGTGAAGGTATCAAAAATTATTGGCCAGTATATCTAAATAAACATGGAACAAAGTAAAAACCATTTCCCCAATCTTTCTCTTGAACCTTGATTTACAACACTTCTCATTTTGCTTCTTTTTAAGGCCTTGGCCATTTCATGAAAATCAAATTTATGATTAGCCTTTAATGGATGCTATTCTAAACTTCTAGTTACATTTCCTCACAGAGCCAACAAAAGCATGCCCAACCCGCCAAACCAATATGAGGGGTCGCAGTTATCACCTGACTAATGACAGTGGAAGAACCTTCAGCATGATTTGAATGAGTAGTCAAAATAAAGCAGAAAGCAAACATCACTAGAGTTGATGACTTGTAAGTCATCTGACACCTAACATCTGATGGCCTACGTAACATGGCTCCATACATGAAACGAAAAAATTCACTCACCTTTCTAAAAGGCACATCACCTCCCAGCTTAATTCCTAACATCACCATACGTGCAACCCAGAAAAAGAGAATGTCATGCCCAGTTTCAAGCACTGAAGTTGGATAAAATGCCTTTAAATCATCTGTATCATTCGGCCAACCTAACACAGATATTGGAAAAAGACCAGCAGAAAACCAGGTATCCAGGACATCAGGATCTTGAGAAATCTGAAATTCCTTGACAGCAAATATTCGGCTAGCCTCTGTTCGAGCCTCTTCTTCATTTTTGAAAAAATTTGTTTGGTTTGATTACTTTTAAAAACTTATTTGTAGAGAAAATTTCCCAAATTTTTTTCAAAAATACAAACCAAACGAACCCCAAGTCTTTATTTCATAGTATAGCAAAATTAAATTTACAATAAGAAAAAAAATATAAAGCTATAATATCAAAAACAATTGATCTGTATGCATCAAAGTACCGCTTAAAATTGATTTAGATTTAGAAATTCTCTATTCTCTCATGAAATTTTCAATACGAAGATTGAAGACCTTTTACTTTATAGTAATGTTGTATTTGGTTGGGGGATTTGAAGAGGGATTTAGAAAACGAAATAGACAAGGTAGGTGAAATATGAATAAAACATACTTATAATTCAATTAGTTTCACATACTTTTTCCGTTTTTTTTTTTCAAATCCCTTCTCATATCCTTCAACCAAACACAGCGTAAAAGAAAATCTGTAAGAGATTCAACCCCAAGTTTGCACTTCATTTTTGTTGGACACAAGTTTGCATTATTAATAAGGAAAGTTAAGTCCCTTTTAGCCTGGGTTTGGATATTCGATTTGAATAATGACTTATAATAAAAGAAAAAGAAAAGGTAAAGAAAAATAACTAAAAAATAATTTAAATATTTTTGGCGCTACTAAATGAAGAATTTTTTTGGTTTGGATCTGCATTTGAATAGAGATTTGCGGCTACTACAATTCAAGATCCAAACAAAACAAATTCTGCAATCTGGTAGTGTCGCAGTGTGGAAAGATTTTGGGTCCTTTTTCTTTTTACATTTGAATTCTAATTCTTCTTCTTCTGTTGGTGACTTTTGTTGGAAAAAATAGTATTTTGGTGACTTTAATTAAATATTAAAGTGGGTCCCAACCATCTATTGTGTTGGGTCCAAGTGGGTCTAGATACTTTGCATTGAGATTTTTACACCACAGATAGAATGGCAAAAAACTATTGAGATTTGAATGAGAAATTACCTCATGAAGTTAGCTTCATGGAAAAAAGATAATGAAGTTTGTAACTCCTGCATTTATTACAGAGTTTAATAGAGCATTAATGGGGTTTGTAACTCTTGCATTAATGGGGTTTGTAACTCCCGCCTTTATTGCAGAGGTTAATGGTGCATTATGAACAGCCATAAAGGCTTGATGCTCTTTCTCTCTCCCCTATACACGTATAAATTGAGACCCTCCTGTCAAGTCTCAAACACAGAAATTTTTACTTCCATTTCACAAGTCAGTTTGCCTGAAAGTTCCTACAGTGAGAGAGTACTGCCACTGTTTTGTTCGCTAAGCTAGACAGAGAGTGCTTCTGCCGTAGCTGGTTTTGACCGTCGTATCTTGGGAGACAGACGCCGGAATTCCTCAAGCACTCGACCAGTGAGGCGGCGAAATCTGTTTTAAGGAAACTGCTTCCGTGCAGGCTTCGGTTTCGTCTCTTTACCCTTTTATTGTTTTGTGTATTTCTGTTGAAATTTAGTTGTAATTATTAACATGTGTTATTAGTATATATATATAATTTGATTTCTTCATAAATCTATTTATTTAATTTCAAAATTTGAACAACAAGCTTAAAACAGATTTTTCATATATGTTTTCCTGTAAAATTGATGGAATAGATTTATATAGACATTTGTATAATGTTACTAGGAACTGTTGCGGAATTGCTCCATATTTCAATGATTGTAAATTATGCAATGTGATTTTCTAATTGTTTAGTTTAATTAGAATGCCCTATCATAATTTGTATACTTAATTGTATTACTCTGATCTTATTTTATGAGTATGGTTCATCATTCCCCTTCTATGATTTGCATGAATTTTAAGGTTATAAAATATAATTTATTGATGTTGCAATTTTGACATGCGAATTCTATTCTATTCTAGGTTTTAATTTGTTACATGCTTATTATTTTCTAGACTAGATTACAGGGTTTAATCTTTAGAATTTTTGCATGGTTATATACTTGAAGTGCTTGGTTATTAGTTTATTACATATAAATAATTCAAATTATTTACATAAACCGCATGCTACTTATTTGGTTTCATCCTATTTGTCTAATGTTGCATATGTATATTTTGATTTTGCATGCTTCTAGCTTTACTATCTAATTTGCATGTGAAATTGCTTCTAGTTTTCTAGAGTTATACACATAAGTTATTTCCATGAATAGTGTGTGATTTAATTGGATGAATTAAAGTTTGAATTAAATGTAGTTCTTTGGAGTTATAAAATTTGTGTAACTTGCCTATATTTATTTACATGGTTATTGTGAATTAAATTCTTATATAATTTATGGCAATTAATTTTTTAATTTAATGTAGAAGTTATAAGGTTTTGTAACTTGTATAGTATCTTAATGGAGAAATTTGCTGGGGTGAACTTCAAGAGATGGCAGCAAAAGATGTTGTTCTACTTGACCACGCTAAACCTTGCAAAGGTTCTGAGCGAGGATCCTCCAGCCGTGGCAGAGAATGAGCCTGATAGGCAGAAAGTCATGGCGCTTGACACATGGAAGCAGACAGACTATCTTTGCCGGAACTATGTGTTCAACAGCTTGGCAGACTCACTCTATAGTGTGTTTTGTTCCAAGAGCTCAGCAAAAGAGTTATGGGAATCTTTGGACAAAAAGTATAAGACTGAGGATGCCGGGGCAAAGAAATTTGTGGTTGGCCGGTTCCTTGATTTTAAAATGGTAGACTCTCAAACTGTGACAAGCCAAGTCCAGGAGTTTCAAGTGATCTTGCATGAAATTCATGCTGAAGGAATGCCTTTGAACGAGTCATTCCAAGTTGCTGTGATCATTGAGAAACTTCCCAATGGTTGGAAGGATTTCAAGAACTACTTGAAGCACAAGCATAAGGAAATGCCAGTTGAAGAGCTGGTTGTCCGACTCTGGATTGAGGAGGATAATAGAAAGAAAGGAGGGAGTACCTCATCAGTAAAAGCAAATGTCATTGAACATGGCAAATCTTATGGAATAAGAAAGAAGCTCTCTAAGTTGGGGCCTAGAGGTGGTGTTGCAAAGAAGTCGGCTTATAAGCCACCAGAACCAAGTAATCGGTTCTTTGGGAAGTGCTATAACTGTGGTAGCAATGGGCATCGGGCTAGTGACTGCCACAAGCAGAAGAAATCATACAAGACTAAACCTCGTGCTCATATGGCAGATTTACAAGAGCACTCCCATGAGGAGGATGATATGCACTTGTCTGCCGTTGTCTCTGAGGTGAATCTGGTAGGTTCAAACCCAAGAGAATGGTGGATTGATACTGGGGCTACACGCCACATCTGCTCCGAGAAAAAGCTGTTTACAACTTTCGAACCGGTTACAAACGGTGAGAAGTTGTTTATGGGAAACTCTGCTACCTCGATTGTTGAGGGGAAAGGAAATGTGGTCCTGAAGTTGACGTCAGGAAAGGAGCTGACCTTGAACGAAGTCCTGTATGTTCCGGACATTCGTAAGAATCTTGTCTCAGGGTCTCTTCTCAGCAAACATGGTTTTTGCATTTTTTTTGAGTCCAACAAGGTCGTTTTGACCAAGAGCGGAGTGTATGTGGGTAAGGGTTATATGTTGGGGGGTATGTTTAAACTCAATGTAATGACTATTATCCCAAAGATGAATAAAGGTGCATCTTCTTCTGTTTACATGCTTGAGTATTCCAATTTGTGGCATGGTAGACTAGGACATTGAACTTTGAATCTTTATGTAGATTAATCAAGTTAGATCACATACCATCTTTTAAGATTAATCCGAAACACAAGTGTGAAACTTGTGTTGAAGCGAAGTTGACAAGATCTTCGTTTCATTTTATTGAAAGAAGTTCAGAGTCATTGGACTTAGTGCATAGTGATGTGTGTGACTTAAAGTTTATAGAATCATGTGGTGGCAATAAATACTTCATCACTTTGGTTGATGATTGCACTAAGTATTGTTATGTCTATTTGCTCAAAAGCAAAGATGAGGCTATTGACAAGTTTATTCTTTATAAGAATGAAGTTGAGAATCAATTAGGTCGCAAGATTAAGGCTTTAAGAAGTGATCGTGGTGGTGAGTATGAATCACCGTTTATTGAGATTTGTGCTCAATCCGGAATTATCCACCAAACCACGGCGCCTTATTCTCCTCAATCAAATGGGGTTGTTGAACGGAAGAATAGGGCGCTAAAGGAAATGATGAATGTAATGTTGATAAGTTCTGGATTGCCACAGAACAGGTGGGGGGAAGCAATTCTATCTGCAAATTACATTCTGAATAAAGTACCCCGGAAGAAGGTGGACAAGACGCCATATGAGTTATGGAAAGGCGTTAAGCCTTCGTATAAATTCTTACGAATGTGGGGGTGTCTTGCAAAAGTGGCAATTCCTACACCCAAACGGGTTAGGATAGGCCCGAAATCCGTGGATTGTATATTCATTGGTTATGCACATAATAGTAGTGCATATCGGTTTCTTGTACATAAGTCTGAAATTTCAGACATACACAGGAATACCATTATGGAGTCAAGGAATGCATGTTTCTTTGAAGACATTTTTCCTTGCCGAACCCATGAAAGGGTTCCAAGGTCTTTGGAGAAATTTGATGAGCTTGCTAGTGAGGATGATCATATTGATGATTCAGGTGATGATCAAATTGAGGTTTTAGATGAGCCTAGAAGGAGTAAAAGGGCTAGGATATCCAAATCTTTTGGTCCAGACTTCTTAACTTATATGGTTGAGGACGAACCTCAAACTTTCCACGAAGCTGTGACTTCTCCTGAGAGTCCATTATGGAAAGAAGCGATCAAAAGTGAGATTGACTCCATCTTACAAAACCACACCTGGGAGTTAGTAAATTTACCTCCAGGTTGCAAGCCTTTAGGCTGCAAATGGATTTTTAAAAGAAAGATGAAGGCCGATGGGTCAATTGACAAGTATAAAGTGAGGCTCGTTATCAAAGGGTACAGGTAACGAGAAAGCCTGGATTACTTTGATACGTACTCACCTGTTACTGGGATAACATCCATTCGGACGGTGATTGCGATTGCTGCTTTGCGTAATCTAGAAATTCACCAGATGGATGTAAAGACAGCTTTCTTAAATGGGAATTTGAATGAAGAAATCTACATGGAGCAACCTGAAGGGTTTTCAGCTCCAGGACAAAGCAAGAAAGTCTGTAAACTTGTCAAATCTTTGTATGGTTTGAAGCAAGTGCCTAAACAATGGCATGAGAAGTTTGACAACGCAATGTTGTCAAATGGGTTTAGAATCAACGAATGTGACAAGTGTATTTATGTCAAAGACACTGACAAAGGTTATGCCATTTTGTGTCTATATGTTGATGATATGCTCATTATAGGTAGTAACGATGAAATGATCAAAACTACCAAGAAGTTGTTAAACTCTAAGTTTGACATGAAGGATATGGGCATTGCAGATGTTATTCTGGGAATTAAGATTACCATAATCTCTGATGGAATTGTATTATCTCGGTCTCATTATGTTGATAAGATACTTGAGAAGTTTAGTGGATCAGATACGAGTGTGTCATCGACACATGTAGACTTAAGTCTACATTTTACTAAGAATAATAATGAAAGTGTCTCACAGTTAGAATATTCTCGGGTAATTGGAAGTTTGATGTATCTAATGAGTTGTACTAGGCCGGATATAGCTTACTCGGTTAGCAGGCTTAGTAGATACACAAGTAATCCCGATGCTTCTCATTGGAAGGGTACTGTGCGGGTGTTAAGGTATTTACGCTACACTCGGGATTATGGGCTGCATTATACTCAATATCCAGCGGTGCTTGAAGGCTATAGTGACGCAAATTGGATATCAGATATAAAAGACTCAAAGTCCACTAGTGGATATGTGTTCACTCTTGGTGGAGCAGCGGTGTCTTGGAAATCTTCCAAACAAACGTGTATATCTAGATCAACGATGGAATCAGAGTTTATTGCTTTGGATAAAGCAATGGAAGAAGCTGAATGACTTTGCCATTTCTTTGAAGATATTCCAAGTTGGTCCAAACCTGTGCCTACTATTTGTATTCATTGTGATGGTCAATCTGCAATTGGTAGGGCACAGAGTAATATGTATAATGGAAAGTCTAGACATATCTGTCGTAGACATAATTTCATACGACAACTACTCTCGAATGGAGTTGTCTTTATAGACTATGTAAAGTCTAAGGACAACATTGCGGATCCGCTAACCAAAGGGTTAAATCGAGTGTTAGTCGAAACGTCGTCAAAAGGAATGGGGTTGAGGCCTTTGGAAGTTACCGGAATGGAAACCTAACCTAGTTGACTGGAGATCCCAAGATCTAGGTTCAATAGGACAACCTAATTGCGTGTAACGGTGGTATGTCACTGAGGAGGTTAAACCTTCAGCCATTCCTTCTATCAGTGATACCTGCAAGTGTAGAGGTTAAGCTGAGCTTTTAATGACTCTAGTGTGTTAAGCTATTGAGCTGAGTATAGCAGGATACTCAAGTAGAGTCACCTATGTGAGTGTGAAGTGGGGCCGCTTCTAGAAAAATTGGGAGGCGAAGATTCTTTGAAACCACTCGCTGAACCAGGCTAGTGTCCAGGGCCACACAGGGCACACCAGTGGGAACAGAATAGTGGTAGGAGTAATTCCCGTGTGAGATCTATTGTCTCAGTTTACATAAACGGCAGAGCAGTTCAAGATGTCATATTCACTGATCAGCCAGTAAACTCGATAAATTTTTCACAAGGAGAGGTTCAAAGCCAAAAGCTACCTTCTCTGATGTCGGGGTTAGTCCATTGTACTCTCTCTCCGAGTCATTATTGTTGAACGGTGTTCGTTTGTTGAGTCATTCGGTCAATTTTTATTCATGTGGGGGATTGTTAGAAAAAATAGTTTTTTGGTGACTTTAATTAAATATTAAAGTGGGTCCCAACCATCTATTGTGTTGGGTTCAAGTGGGTCTAGATACTTTGCATTGGGATCTTTACACCACAGATAGAATGGCCAAAAACTATTGAGATTTGAATGAGAAATTACCTCATAAAGTTAGCTTCATGGAAAAAAGATAATGAAGTTTGTAACTCCTGCATTTATTACAGAGTTTAATAGAGCATTAATGGGGTTTGTAACTCCTGCATTAATGAGGTTTGTAACTCCCGCCTTTATTGCAGAGGTTAATGGTGCATTATGAACAGCCATAAAGGCTTGAGGCTCTTTCTCTCTCCCCTATACATGTATAAATTGAGACCCTCCTCTCCCCTATACATGTATAAATTGAGACCCTCCTGTCAAGTCTCAAACACAGAAATTTTTACTTCCATTTCACAAGTCAGTTTGCCTGAAAGTTCCTACAGTGAGAGAGTACTGCCACTGTTTTGTTCGCTAAGCTAGACAGAGAGTGCTTCTGCCATAGCTGGTTTTGACCATCGTATCCTGGGAGACAGATGCCGGGATTCCTCAAGCACTCGACCAGTGAGGCGGCGAAATCTGTTTTAAGGAAACTGCTTCCGTGCAGGCTTCGGTTTCGTCTCTTTACCCTTTTATTGTTTTGTGTATTTCTGTTGAAATTTAGTTGTAATTATTAGCATGTGTTCTTAGTATACATATATAATTTGATTTCTTTATAAATCTATTTATTTAATTTCAAAATTTGAACAACAAGTTTCGGCTTTAGTTTGGGCACTCATTTGATTGGACCCTACTTAAGAATATTTTAATTTTGGGAAAAGTATAAGGTTGGAGTTATTTGGGAGTCTTATATTTTACAAAATTTTATAGGCCACAGAGGTTTCTTTATTTGTAGAAAAATGATACAAATACATCACCAGATGTGTTTTACCGAATATTTTTTTTCTTACATGAATTTATACACACAAACACCTGTGGACATGCAAGAGCCAACGTGTTCAAAAACTAATGACATGTCCTGTTATTTTCTGTATATTTGAAAGGTACAAATCATTATCAAGTCATTTAAAATCAAATATATGCGAAACAGACTACTAGGAGTAAGGATAAAAGCTCCAGATCGTTCACACCATATAACTTGAGAAGAACAAATGGGAAGGTGTTTCTTCGTCCGTGCTTCAAATGAGCTATATAGGAATGAAGCAGAATCAATTGATAGAAGATAAATTACAGATATCGTGCAAATTACATTAAGCCTCCGTTTGGGAAGTGGGTTGGCTTTTTGGCTTTTTTGGCTATTTTAGCCTGGGCTTAAAAGCTTGGTTTGGGAAGGACTTTTTGGCTTTTTGACTTTTTTGAGTTTTTTTGTGAGAGAAAAATGTAATGATTATGGGTTGGATGTGATGTTTTGTTTGTTATGACTAAAATAGCCTATTTTATTTTTTGTGGCTAAAATAGCCAAAAAAACCCTACAAACCCACTTGCCAAACACAGGCTAAATTGGACTTTCAATCAAGAAACAAAAACTATAATATGCAGTACCCAAGAAACAAAACCATAGTTTACTGTCTTGGGTCCAATGATAATATATATAGAGCATTAGAATTTGTCATTTCTTGTGTAGCATTAGAATTTTAAAATTGTAGCATTAAGAAGGATTAGCAAATAAAGAGTTATGTACTCTTACGAACCTCTCAGTGCACTTCACTATCTTATGTCTTTAATTTCATATTTTTAATAAAATTTTTCTTTGTTGATTAAAAAAAAAATAAATAAATAAATAAAAAAGAAGCACATATAAAGATTAAAGCTAGTCAAATTTTGATCCAAGTTCATCTTTACATCACACATAATTTTAATATTTTTACGTTTTCCCTCCCTCAAAACAAATGCTCCTCACTAAGGAAAAATTATTTAACAGTGTAACCCAAAAAAATAAAAGAAAAAAACAAACACAAATATGGAGAGGTGCAATTTGCACTCATAGAATTTGAGTTGCACCCCATCACAAAATGACTTATACTCACCATATTTGTGTAATTTATTGTTATTGTTATTTTTTATTTATTTATTTATTTTTCTTCTATCAAGCAATTCTCCACCTCACCAAATGTCCTTCCATGGGTTGGGGCAGCACATCAAATGAGTAGTTCGGTCTAGGACTCCACACCCTCGACAGTAGGATGCCGACTGATTTGAAATTGAAAATATAAATAAAAACAAATTTCTGTTACTAAATTGGTGACATGTAGAATATCAATGATACAAGTCTTGTCTCCCTTCCTACACTATGGCCTCCCATGTACAGAGGGAATAAAACAAAAACTAGAAAAACAAAAAGTTATCCAAGCAATGATATTGTTAAGTTTTGCCTATGACCCTTCTTCGGTTGCATTGTAAGACTCAAGTCAACTTTCAAGTACATTTTTTTGGGGTCAATGCGTAAGAGATTATTTGCAAATATTTTTTAAAAAATTACATAAAACTAGATGATTAACCATATATGGAAGTCCAAACCCAAAGTCTCAACACCGACAATCATTATATCAATACAAAAAAGTTACATAAACAAATAAGGATAAATTATGTAAATGGTCTCTGTAGTTAATAAATTTTATTAAAAAGAATCTATAAAACTCAAACTATGAGATTTAATTTTTTTTTTAATACAAAATAAATTTGTTTATCAAAAAATGTCGTAATGGCCTTAAAAATTGGGAGAATTACATCCCAATCGCACAAAGGTTTTTTCTTTTCCTTTTTTTGTTTTAACACAAATATGACTTGCACCCACAACATTTCACTTCCATCCCATCACAGAATCACTTACACTCTACATGTTTTTGTAATTTTTTTTTTCCTACTATAATTCTTTCTTAAAAATTTAGCACATGAAAGTATTTCTAAATAAAATTAAAAATTAAATTTATAACTTGAGCCCTCATAACAAAATAGTACGAATTAAAATTAAAAAAATTATTTAAAAAAATTCTAAACTAATCAAACTGCCACTCGTAAAAGTCATGCCAGTGCCCAATTGTGAAGGTTAACACGGCTTCACAAGACCCCATAATCACGCTGTAAGGTTGTTGATGGGGTCCACACTGAAATCACACCACACCGAGTGTTGAACTCTATTGCCTAAGTCAACTCGTGGGTGTGCTACATTAACTCCTGTTTCAACCAGAGACCACTCTTTGTTTCTTTCTCATCTCTCAAAAACTCATCTTTTTTTTTTTTTTTTATCATCTTCTAGTGTTACTGGTATATTCTTTCATATATTTAGGCTCCCAAATATCAAAGATATGTCTGGTTTAAGTGCTGATGATGCAATTTCAAGCGTTGTGATCGAATCATGCCATTGCTTTTCACTAGCTGAGATACAATCAATGACCAACAATTTTAATGAAGAACTAGTTATTGGGATGGACGGATTTGGTAAGGTATATAAGGGGTTCATTGATAACGGTGCTACAACTGTTGCCATAAAGAGGTTGAAAGCAGATTCCAATCAAGGCGCAGAGGAGTTCTGGAATGAGGTCAATATGTTGTCTAAGCTTCGACACACTCATCTTGTTGCTCTGATCGGCCAATGCAGCGACTGCCAAGAAATGATCCTTGTTTACGAATACATGGCTCCTGGGACCCTAGCCAATCATCTCTATAAACAAGTAGGAACCAAACTGAAATTACTACTTTTCATCTCACATCGGAGCGGAGGCACAACATTTGCATCGGTGCAGCACAAGGGTTAGACTACCTTCATACTGGTACCGATCAATGTTTCATACACCATGATGTGAAGACCACAAACATTCTGTTGGATGAGAATTACGTAGCCAAGATTTCAGATTTTGGGTTCTCCAAAGGCAGTACAAGCAATTCAGCAACCCGTGTTAGCACAAAGTCAAAGGTACATTTGGGTATTTTGATCCAAATTCTTTCTATACCCAGAGACTAACCAATAAATCTGATGTGTATGCCTTCGGTGTGGTGTTGTTGGAAGTTCTTTGCGGGAGGCCGCCGATGGATACAAGACTCGAGGAGGAGGAAATTAGTTTAATCCTTTGGGCTCAACGACACATTAAAAAGGGAAAGGTTGATCGAATCATTGATCCCTCATTGATTGGGCAAATAACACCACAAAGTTTAGAGGCTTTTCCCAAACTAAGCCGCTTTTGCATCTTATTTCTCAAACTAGGCTTACTTTTGACGGATTTCCCAAACTAAGCTAAAGCGCTATTACAAATCGCGCTTTTACGGGGTGTTAACTGGGCTGTTTCAAGAGGAACTTTTTTCGGTGTACGGGGTGTTAACATTGGAGCTTCTGCGGTGGGTGTGAGGAGTTTGGTTCGGAGTAGCAGTTATGTCACTTGGGTGTTTCGGTTGGGTGAGGGTCCTTGGGTGTATTAGGTTGAGTTGGGTGTTGGTTACTTGTATCGTAAGTGTTGTGTTTCTGAATCTGGAGGTGGGTGTTAATTTGCTCAGTGGGTGCGAATTACTTTTGGGGTCATTTTTTTGTTTTTTGCCAACCGTGTGGCTTTGTTAGTGCGTTATGTTTTTGTTATATTTTGTTTGTCGCTGGATAGTGCAGAAGCAGTTGCAGGGGTTCAAGGTTTGTGTAAGGTTAAGTACTTATTATCCTTTGTTTTTTTTATCTTTTAAAAAATGTGAGAGGCGGAGGGGTTGGTTGTTTGGGTGCGAGTAGCAGTAGTAGGGGTAGTTTGTACTTTCCGAATCTCTCTCGGTGCACTTCATCTTCTTGTACTCTTAATTTCATGCCGTTAATGAAATTTTTCTTTACTGATAAAAAAAAATAGCTTCTCTTCTCCATAATCATCTAAACATAATTAAAACTATACCCAAAAAAATGTTTAAACATAAAAATACTTATTCTATTGCTGACATTTTTAAAAACAATAATAGTACATGCTTACCAAATTTAGCTACCAAATTTAAGATATGGTCTTTAAGATATGTTCTACAAGTTACTCTAGTTCCAAGCTTGCATTGGTGGTTGCTTTTGAAATTTCTTAGCTGTTAGGTAGTAGTTTGCTGGTCTTTATTGTTGGTGTTTGGTTTGTTTTCTCGTTGGTTTCTCACCAACTCTGGGGGTGCTAGCAAATGATAGGATGGACTTTTTGGTGCCAACCTAGTTGGGACGATTTAGCTCATTGTGATGCTTCTGCACCCTCCTTTCCTTTATTGATGTTTTCTATTTTGTACTGTGTACTTGTTTCTTACATCAATAAAGCTTTTCTTTGCCGATCAAAAAAAAAAAAAAAATTTAAGATATGGTCTGATGTATCACCAATACACTGGTGTCGTTTCATATATTATATCAATGCATTAGAAAATAGAACACATTTGATGTGTTTCAGCAATGATGCAGCTTGGTCCTAGGCTATTGTCCATGTATTGTTTGTTTTTTTGATCCGCAAAGAAAAATTTCATTAACGGCATGAAATTAAGAATACAGAAAGATGAAGTGCACCGAGAGAGATTCGGAAAGTACAAACTATCCCTACTACTGCTACTCGCACCCAAACAACCAACCCCTCCGCCTTTCACATTTTTTAAAAGATAAAAAAAAATGTATTGTTGTTATGCTTTATACATCAACATATCTCTTTCGCTGATCAAAAAATAACATATAAAAAGCATATAAGATATTCAAAATTTCACATTGAAATTTAAGGGTGAAAAATACCTCTAGCCCCTAGCCCTCGTGTTATTTTCATCCTAGTAATTTCAATTGGTTCGATATTAAATCTGAATTTTTTTACTTTGCCTCAAATTACTCCAATTGATTCCAATTGTTAATAGCCTTTATGGAAAATGCGTACATGAGCGGCAAATCTAATACTTTTAGGGACAAAAATTTAACCTGATCAATTCATTGACTTAATCTTAACTAATTTAGTGATCATTTTTTATCAAAAACATTAAGGCGCTATCCATTGGACAAAGTTAATGCAAAATTTAAAATTAAAGGTTAAAATTGAGTCAATTAAAACTATAGGAATCAAAATGACGTAAACGGCAAAATGTAAGACTACCAATGTAATTGGTTCCAATTTTCACAAAGATCATTACTGTTTTTTTCAAATTATAGGTCACCTTGAGTGCATGCATATTATGAACTGATAAGAACAAATTGGGCACATAATTTGCATCAAAATAGGATATAATTTTTTTGTACATAGCATATTTAAGCAATGATCTCAGTTCTCCACTCTTTAGAAGTGAAACCTTCCAAATGAGGAAAATTACATAAAATCAAGCTGAAAAAGCAACCAAAGTAGAAGCAAGATAAGGAAAAAGAAAACATATTTGGACATGTGATCACTACAATTACTGGTTTTACCAGTTCCGGACATTGCTATGCTCATCAAATATAGAAACCATATGAACAGAGAAATTCTTCGTTGATAGTCGAAAAATGCGGAGATAGAAATCCAGTGTTGTCGACCAATGGTGTCATGACATCGTATGTGGCGTCGTAATTGTCTGCTAAAAATGGTTCTGTCCAAAAATCTCCAGAGGTTTCAGCAAACATTTCAGAAGGAGAGACAAAGCTTGTGCAGTTTCCTTCTGTGGTGTCTATTGCCAAACAACGAAATTTAGTGGATAATGATGGCGGTGAGGATTGGTAGCTTTCAAAGATTTGTTGAGTTGAAGGGTTTGAAGAAGAATTTTTAACTTCTGATTTTTTTTGTCGATTGCTTTTGCATTTGGAACGATCACCGGAGCTCAGTTTTTTTCCTTGTGAGATGGAGATTCGGCTCGAGCGTTTCTTGAGGTAGCTATGCCAATGGTTTTTAATGTCATTGTCTGTTCTTCCCGGTAGCTGTGCTGCCATTGCAGACCATCTGCAAATGGAGGAAATAATATGAGCTTTAAAGTCAATGCTTAACGAGTATGGAATGTTTTTGAGTGGCTTTCCGTATTAATAGTGTTTGTATTAAGCTTAAATGAAGAGAAATTATATATCATTCATGTTGACAATACTTGTTGAATTGCTCATGCCTTCATTGATTTTCTTTGTTTTCTCAAAGCGAGAAACCATTTATATATCTAGACATGTCTCAAGAGAAATATGCCAAATATTGTGAGAAATTCTCCAACATCTTATCATTCAATGGTAACAAATTTTCAGAATGACCTTGATCATAAGAAGAATTTATTGATTTGCTGGAATTGACATTGGTTCAAAAGAATGAAGAAGTGGAGCTGGAAGGCTATTCCCTTTTCAATTCTAAGGTCTATTTGGTACATCGGAATAATGATCTCTTCAACGGAGGCAGCATATCATCGGAGGCTATTGCTATCGAGGTTAGGGATTTAACCCGGGTGAAAAGTAAGGTTGGGGGCAATATTTATTTATTTATTTATTTTTTAAATTTTGATCACTGAAAAAGAATTTCATTGATAAAATGAAAATAAATACATCATGGGAAGCCTGGTCGGAATTGCATCATAGCTTGAAGAACATATCCCAACTATATGACCGCCTGTTCTCGATTACAATCATGTGCACACCGAGGCTAGGATACTTACTCTATCAATGATTTTATTTACAACCTACCACAGGTTTTGTCACCCAACTGATCTGGCCCTTGCTTCTTGCCTTTCTTTATTTTTTATTGGGATTTAGGGTTGGCACTGCTAACCTTGTGGTTGTTTTTGCCTGCTGGTTGCACATGATTTGCTTGCTTTGTACATGACACCTTAGTTGGGATATATGTAGTCGGCAATGATACATTCCTATCACCATGGTGTGTTGATGTATTGCGCATCTACTTCTTATACTCTTTTCATATATCAATAAAATCTCTTCACTTCGCCAATCAACAAATAAAATAAAATAAAATTATGAGCTTAACTTGATATCCAACAAATTTGAGTTTAAATTTTTGGTGAAAACAAAAAGGCTGTACATATATGTTAAAGAAATAATTTTGAATTGAAGAAGTTAAATATCATTCAAAAATTACCTATTCCCAAGTGATTCGTGTAAGTTGATAATTATTTCTTCTTCTTCCTTGCTAAAGTTCCCCCTTTTGATATTTGGTCGTAGATAATTCATCCATCGAAGTCTGCAACTCTTCCCACACCTTGATAGTCCTTAAAAACCAAAGTAAGTAGCTAAGGTGGCATTCATATGAAGAAAAAAAAAAAAAAACCCTAGTTCAGATTTCTGATATCATATTTTATGTACTTCAATAAAACTTTAGGTTATCTTCCCAAGTCAATGAACAACAACTTTTGGGTGAAATCAAGAGTTGAGGTTCATTGCTTTTCGGTGGATGACTTTATTTTCCGAATTGATGTTGTGAGATCTTTTCAACTGAAGGTAGCTAGCAGGAAAGGTATTTTTTGGGATGATTTTTGGGTGATTGAATGCTATCCTTTTGTGTGATTTTTGTTTTTGTTGCTTATGGGTTTACTCAGTTGGTACCATACCAACTTTGTTTTTTTTTTTTTTTTTAACAGGATTGAGCAGTGGGTTTGGAAGTGTTGATCTTCCTCCATTGCTATCTCTTTCCTTTTTCTTCTTCTCTTTTAATCTAATAAATTTCTTCTTTGCCAATTAAAAAGAAAAAAAAAAAGAAGAAGTCGATGAACAACAGAAGAAGAAGAAGATTAAAAGAGTAATAACAAATTTGTGTGTATTAAGAGAGAGAGAGAGAGCCGTTCAAAAAATAAAGATCAAATTAAAACATTTGTCTGATAAGTGAGTAATAATGTCAATAAATGTACAATTATGTCTGTATGCGTGTAACAATATCACATATACAAATAGTCAAGATCAAGATCCAACTGTAACCAAGTACCACCCTAGAGTTATTAAACAAAAGTAGCTGGACAGTATTATAATCACAAGAAGTAATGGTGAATACTTCGAAAAAATTTGTTATTAAACTAATGGAAGCATCAATAAGGCAGAATCATTGGGGAAGGCAGGTGAACACTCCTAGGTTGGGTGCCTGAACTCCCTTGTAAAAAAACCAAGGTTCTTCCATTCACCGTTCATATCTAAGGATAAGAAATACCGCTCTGACCTCTGCAGCAATATTCAGTTTTCTGTGCCATTAATTAATCATAAAAAATTTCCAAAATATAAAAGTTGTGACTTGCAGACAATGTGTGTAAATAATATCACATCTACAAGAGTAAATATCAAGGTCCAACTGTAACCCAGCAACCTGCTAGAGTTATTAAAACATAAGTAGCTGCATAGTATTATAATCACAACAAGAAGCAATGGTGTGATTATATTTAAACCAAATTTTATTAAACTAATGGAAGCGATCAAAACGACAAAAGCATCAGTAAAGGCGAGGTGAAGGAAGAAAACAAGCTAGGAGCATACGGGTGCCTGAATTCCCTCCCAAAAAAGATTCCGCCATTCAGTGTTCATATCCATGGATAAGAAATGCTTTGACTTCTATGCCATTAATTAATCATCAAAATTTTGAACACAATATAAAAGCAAGAGACATGGAATG